ATTCACATAAAGTCACGTAAAACAGCTTGTTTACTTCAAAATCGCCAAATAATTTCTTAGCTTTACAAGAATAAAAATCTAACCAAATTTGGTCATGTTTTATTCACGTAAAGCTGACTAATTACTAAGTAAAGGCAATGTTGTTTTTTTATTCACTTGGCCTATGAACTTAATAATTTTTAAATTTTTGACATAAAATTCTTTTTTTTTTTTCTGTTAAAAAAACTAAAACCGTATCTAAACTAAAACGGGAATCCGTCAAAAAAATATTAATAATGGTACAAAGTTCCCACTGAATGTTCCCACTGTGCATTGGCGTAGCTAGGATTTAGGGCGCCCGAGGCAATGCTGAAAATAGGCGCCACCTAAAGCAGACATGTAAACTAAAAAAAAACACTTAATGTTTCCAAGTCAAAATTCCAATTTTAATTTTAAAAATGCAAAAGCTAATCATATTACATATTCAAATTAACTCATGTTTACAATTACGTATCCATTATTGTTCGTGTAAATTAGTCAATGAAAGTGACAAATATAAATAAAAATTTTTGACCTTTATAAATAAAACTTAGTGCTGCAACCAACTAGCTCCGGTCTTCCCTACTGTCTATAAAGTTAAATGTGTTGATTTAAATTAGTTTTAGTGTTAACAAAAACTATCTTTTAAAAATCAAATTAAAATAAATTTTTTAAATTTAAACAAAACGCTATGAATTTAATAAATTTTTTACTTAAATATGTCCTAAACCATCAAAAAAGATCCCTATTGCCAGAACTTTATTTAGTGACTTCTTATTAGCCTTGGATAAGTGCATATTCTCTGATAAGTTATTCTCTGATTTATCAATTGAAGAACTTGAAAAGGCGTTGAAATCTGTTTAAAAAAAAAATCATGTTGACCAGACAAAATAAATGGAAACGTGATTATAGATTGTTTTGAGCAACTAAAAGATGTTTTTTTCAAATTTTTCAATGCCTTATTTAAACAAGGAATTTTTTCGGAACAATTAACAATTGTCAAATTTATATCTATCTATAAAGAGGGTGACCAATCCCGAAAAACTAATTATCGCCCAATCTCTGTGCTCTCTGTATTCTCAAAAATCCAGTTTATATATTCTGTTGCTCATAATTCTTATAAGAATTGTGTGCAACAGAATATATAAACACCATGACAAAAATAACCTTCTCAATGTTAATTAACTTGGTTTTAAAAAGGATAGCTCAACAGAGCATGCAATTATCTAAGATAAAATTTCAAATTCTTTTGAACAATCAAAATATATAGATGAATAAATTACTATCGTCGGCGAGCATGATGTTCATCAGATTAGTTGGTTTATTTAGATCGTTTATATAAATTAAAAAAGGAGGGGTCCGAGGATTGAACTTTGTGGAACTCCACAGGTCATGCTTAAACAAATGTTGTGATAGTTGTCAATACCAACAAGAAATTGTTTTCTGCTTGTTACGTAACTTCTGAACCACTTTAACACTTGCTTATTTACTCCTTAGTATTTCAGTTTTTCGAGTAGGAAGTGATGGTCAACCGTCTCGAAGCCTGTCGATAAAAATACCTAATGTGTTTTTATCGACAGCCTTCGATACGGTTAATTTGTTTGTTATTATTTTTAAGGTTCCGATGATAAGATCTTAATGATCTTCTTTCGAAAACCTAGTTTACACTGTTTTCACACATTGTATATATATATATATATATATATATATATATATATATATATATATATATATATATATATATATATATATATATATATATATATATATATATATTATATATATATATATATATATATATATATATAATTTTTTTTTTTTTTTTTTTTTTCACAACTTTAATAAATTTACACATCGTTACGTTATATCTACATGACATAATATAATCCCACGTAAAAATATAAGATAATAGGGGCCATCCATAAAGGACGTCACCATTTTTTAGCCAATTTTTGACCCCCTCCACCCCCCCCCTCCTTTGTCACCGTTTGTCCTTTTTCCCTATACCCCCCTTAAAAAGGACGTCATAAAATCCTGAACCCCCCCCCTATTTTTAACTCCAAAAAAATTTATTTCATCTCGCAATGATGCACCTGATGCAATGATACACCTTTGAAAAATAAAATTAAAAATATTCTCATACATTATCTTCTTAAAAACACATATTTACGTAGTTTTCCATGTTAATTAAACTAAAATTAAAAATCTATTAAGTGACGTCCTTTTCTGACAACCTCCCCCCCTCCCTTGTCCTTTTTTGTCGACCCCCTCCCCCCCTATTTGGATGACGTCCTTTATGGATGGCCCCATAATACCACGTATAACATAGCATAATAACAACTGGTTTAACAAGTATAACTTAGTATAGCGTAAATTAATAGTGTTTCTTATCATAAAAATTGCCAGTATTAAAAAAAATAAATAAAAGAATAAAAATAAGACAAGACCAGTTGCGTTTTTTATTTGGTTAGAGTAGTAATTTTTTTTCAGACTTTTTTTTATTTTTTCAAATAAACTTTTGCATTGTTTGCAAGTACTTAGATTTTTTTCATTTCTATTATTTAAATACTTGATGTAAAGTTTTTGTTTTGTTTTTGAAGACTTTTTTTATACCTCTAGTAATCCATGGACATTGTAAATATTTTACTTTTAATTCCTGTTCTATTATAGGGAAGTGATTATCATAGTGCTTTAATAATATTTCTATAAATATATTATAAGCAGAGTTGGTATGCCTAAGGTTGCATTCTTGGTAAATCCTGTCCCACCTCACAGCCGATAGTGAGTCTTTAAACTGTTGAATAGTAAAATTATTAATTTTTCGTTTATAGACTTTGATTTTAGAGTTATTATTTTTTGTATCTTGAAAAAAGGAAAAGTATATCGGAAAGTAATCGGATATATCCGTTTTGGTTACACCTGCTTTTAATCAAGAATCATAAAATAAATTAGTCAAAATGTTGTCTATTGCAGTGATTGAATTTAATGTTACCCGGGTTGGTTTGTTTATTATAGGAAAGATGAAGTGTTGAAACATATCGTCAAAATTATCTAATGTCATCTATTGTAGACAGTTTATATTTATGTGACCAATACAGAATAATATTTTGTGCTCTTCGTCATTTTTTAGAAATATTTGTTTTAGGTGATTTAAAAAGTTTTTTATATTACCTTCGGAAGGTCTGCAACAGGTGGGCATTATTATATTTTTTAATTTTTTGTTTATTACTTCAATTGTAAAGACCTCATTGTCGGCATCAGAAACCGAAAGATCGTCTCTAATTTTAGTTGTCAGATCATTATAAATGTATGTCATAATTCCACCTCCTCGTTTTTGAATTTTTCGCTCATAAGATAATAATTTGTAGTTTGGAATTATTAGGTTTGAATTTATTCTAATTGATTCGTCAGAACACCAAGTTTCTGTTAAGGAAATCATGCTGAACAAATAATTACATTCTATAAGAAAATGCTTTAGTTTGTCAATATTATTAATTATACTTCTTATATTTATGTTTATCACTGTTAAGTTATTATTTAATGATTTTAATTCATTTTTAAAAGTTTCTTATTCAAAAAACCGCGAGTTAAATTTATTTTCATTAAAAAATGCAAATCTGGATCGTAAGAGTTATTAAGAAAAAAGTTATTAGCCGATTTCAAAACATTAAAGTGTTGCGTTTCGTAATCTATTGTTTGTTTGAGAAAATTAAACTAACGTAAAAAAAATTTCTTAATTATACGCAAAATTTTCTTACTTCTTAAATTCGCGAAAAAAAACTTTATTAAATTTAATTGCTGCGTATTTACCTAGGTTGCGAAGATTTTTGACTTCTTCCCAAAGTGTCTTTCTCTCTTCCATCGTCTCTTTTGCAAAGTCTTCTTGTGCATATATTCCATTTCCTTTTAAGTTTTTAAGTGAACTTAAATTTTAATTTTATCTTGATAGTTTAACAGTTTCACTACGATAGTTCTTGGTGTTTTGTCTTCTTTATACGATCCAATTCGATGCGCTCGTTCGACAGTAATTTCAGTTGAAATTTTAAGGTTGTTTGTAAATATTTTTTTTGCAGATGTAAATAGTTTTTTTACAGATTTTTCACATTCGCTCCAACTTTCTCCTGGTGAATCTTTCAGACCATCGACTCTAATGTTGTTACGACGAGAGCGGTTTTCTAAGTCAGTATTTTTTTTTATTTATATTTTTAATTTCAACATCGTATTTCTTCCTTATTTGTGTTAATTCCTCCTTTATTTTTTCTTCTTAACAGTTAAGACTTTCTTTCACATCGTTCAAGTCTTTTTCAATATTTCGCATGTTTAATCTGTTACTACCCAGCAAACATCGAACAGGCGGACCGATAACGGACCGCTGTCAGCACTTATGCCGTGCCGACGTCGGCCGCCCGTTGCGTTGCCGCGTTGGCTTGCACATCGTATTTACATCGGTCCGTTAGCGGAAAACTGAAGGCGGTTCGACAGCGGACCTATGGCGGCAAATCGACAACGTTTGAACAACGGTCCGTCAGCGGCTAAACGATGATAAAGCCATAGCGGAATAGCATAGCATCTATAATAAGTTTTGACTAAGATTTAAATGCATTGATATAAATATAATTATTTTTATTTTTTTGTTTGAATAGAACGCACTTATTGTTAGCAAAAATCTTTATATCTTTCAGCTCAAATTTTTACTCATAAAAAAATGCAAATCCTGCCAATGCCTGGAAGACACATCAAATATCTTTTGACTTTGTGCATAGGTATATAGACAAAATACGAATTTATTATACTAAAATTCTTCTACCACCGAAAAACACTACCCCAACTGTAAACTATTAGGTCATACGTGGCAAGGCTTAAGCTTGGTGAACAAAAAGACTAATCAGAAGTTATAATAAAAATCATTTTAAAATTGCAATTTACAATTACAACATGAATATAAAAGTAACAATAATTTTTTTTTAAACTAAAACAAAATATAAAGTATAATTGCATATTTAGATTATTGCTTCACTTGCGTTTAGCGAATGTTTAAAATATAAAATAGTTATTTTTCAACATATCTATAAGTTCAATTTATTCTCATTTCAATCGAAAACTAAATATATTTAGGAAACCATGTGTTGAAAATTGATTTACGTTGCAGTCTGCAGACTTCTATCTTTCGCCTAAAAACAGGCAATGATATATAATGAAAATATTGAAACAGTCAAGTTTAGAGCTATTACAACAAAGATAATAAACTAACCTTCTCAGCCCTTAAAAACGTATTCGTTTGAAATAGTCTGATCACCAGTTATTGACAAATAACTTCAGATACTAAGTGCATCTACATTGAATAAATATAAATTTAATTTTATTTTTTAAGCATAATTTAAAACATGAAAAACAACAAAAACATTGTTTAAATTGAAAAGCTATGGAAATAACTTTAAAAAAAAGCTATATAAAAATAAAGTCATATTGCGTGCCTTTTTAAAAAAATAAAATTTCATATACAGTAACCTACCTTATTATACCTAATCCTTTAAATATGCCTGAGGGGTTTATGAACAATAAAAAAAAATTGTTATTTCATTAAAAAAAGTATCTTTAATTTTAATTTTAATTTAACAAATAAAATAGTATTTAAAAATGAGATACTTATATGTCAGGTTGGAAGTAAAACCGTAAAACCCACAGCAACTTAAGGGCGATTGTGAACCTTTTGCAAAGCATAAGCCTAAGACACAAGTACACATCTGAAAAAGAAAGAATCAGAGGCAAAACACATCAATAAAAATATATTTTGATAAACTAAAATATAGTTTGTAAATTAATCATAGTCTTCACCATACAAAAAAAAAAACACAGCCCAATATAATATACTATAAAAACTCCTTGAAAAATATAAAAAATCAAATAATTGATTGAAATAAAACGGTTTAGTAAATAAGTATGTAATTTTTTCTAATAAATTATTTGTAAGCATATAAAGAGCAAATAAATATGTTTAAACAAAATATTATTTAAATCCAGTTTGCAAATCAAACATCTATCTTATACCCATGGCAATATTTGGATCATGGTCAACATAATTCTATGAAATATAACTCTGGTTGAGGTAAACGGTTTCCTGTAAAGAAATAATATTAAATCATAAATGTAACATTAAATTACAAGCATGTTTGAACGGAATTGCTAAAGCAATCCTTTAAAATAATGGCTTGTAAAATAAAAAATTTTGTTAGATTTTTATTCATCTGCTTCACTGGTTAAATACCAAGTTAATTTAGCTTTCCATCAATAACTTTATATTTTAAAGCTTATAGTTATATTTAAATTTATTATAATCAAACAAATCAAACAGTAGACAGACTCCAGAACTTATATTTTGGATTTTTTTCAAAAATAACATTAAAATAATATCAAAATAATAAAATTAAATAAATATCAAAATAAACAAAATTAATCTTACTTTATTCTCTGGTAAGATTCAATATCACGATTTAAATTTTCATCTACAATCTCATATACAAAAGGTTACTGTAAAAGGGAATGAATATGAAAAACACAGAAACAGTAATACTCATTGCACAAAAACTTTACTCTATAGAGTTTAAAAATTAAAATATTTAAAAATATATAAAATAGTTTTCAATAAAATAAAGATAACAAATTTGTAAATAAAGATGCTTATTTTATTTAACAATATTATTCATCTGAACTAAAAAATCCCTCTTTATTTAATGGCATTGGAAAACTTGATGTAGGCATCACTTTTTTCTTGGCTTGTTTGTTTTTTTGGTCTTGTCTAACTTTTTTTCCACCATTGCGGTCTGATGCACCACGCAATAAACGCACAACCTCATATTGAAAATCTGATTCAGTTGCTGAAGTTGTTGCAGGATTTCTTTTTACAGCTCCTAGAAATTAATTCAAGACTTTTATTTAACTATCTTTTAACTTAATTTTAGAAATATATAGAATTTTTTTTAAAGCTTTTTATTATCAAATTTTGTTTATCTATTTATTAATTTTTTATTTTTATATAGTTAATAAACTTTATTTATTTATCAACTATTTATTAACAAATAGATTAGTAATTACTAAATTAGACACAAGTAATTATTAAATTAGAGTAACAAGCCCCTACAAAAAAAATTACTTTTAAGCAAGTGTAAGTCTTTGTTTTACAAAGTTACTTTCATTGTCATTTATAGTAATACCAGACCAGTTAAGTTTACAGCAGAGGTTATTAGTGAATAACGCAAAAGACATTCTCTGGACAGCCTCCTTTAAAGTCTGGCCTCCTTTACTTGCCACAGCTATTATCTACAAAAAAAATAGAAAAAGCATCAGTAATATATATACTGAAGAATATTTTTTTAAAAATTAAAAAATAATAGATATCAAATTAATGCCATTAATTATTGCATAACATTTATTAATAGGCTTTATTTTATTTATTGTCCTTTATTTCCATTTATAAATGATCTAGCTAGTGTACCACAAATAAAAGCTGATATAGCAAACATATATACTTTACCATTAATACTAATACTAGATTCAAATAAAGCAATACTTTCATTAAGAAACATTTTTAGAAATTCATTACGGTCTTTTGGTTTAGACCTACTATAAAAAAGACCGATTATAAATGGGGTTTTATTGTGTTGAATATTGTTTATCCACATTTTTTAAACCTAATATTGGTCAAAACTGTCCAATGCTGCTTTTAAACAATGGTAAATCATCAGTGTTGACTTGAATTGGTATACAATCCTTTTTCTTTAAAAAACTTAAATTATTACTTAAAATACCTTGTCTAATGCCAATATTTAATATGAATTGATTACTGTCAGAGTTCACTTCACAATCAATATTATTTGCACCTGAGGGAATAACACTCTCAGTTGAAAGTTTTTGATCTGATATACTTTTTAAATACAATGATTGTAGTTCTTCTGGTGAATGTGAAATATTGCTTGATTTAATGGTTAGATCTTTTAGGCAATATTCAACATCAGCTATTATCTTTCGCCGTTTTGTCCAAAAGCTCACTATTAAAACTTACATAAATTGTTTTATTTACTAAAGCTGGTACATATTTAAAAATGTATATATTATATATATATGTGTGTGTGTGTATATATATATATATATATATATATATATATATATATATATATATATATATATATATATATATATATATATATATATATATAACTTCATATTAGTATAACATTGTTCTTGTTATATTAAAAGTTATATGACTAGTCATGTAACTTTTAATATAAAAAGAACAATGTTATACTAATATAGTTATAAAATTGTTACATAACTGTAACAATATTGTTAAAGTTATATATGTTTAAAATAAAATCAAATTAGAATTTTTAATTTTGAGTCTTATAAATATATATTGAACCTATATGTATATCTATACTTTATATCTATACTAAGTATAGATATAAATATAATATATAGTAATCTATATTAAGTATAGATATAGATATAATAAATAAGTATAGATATAGATATAAATATAAATTATAAATATAGATATAAATATAATATATTATAATATAATATATAGTAAAGTATACTTTATATTATATTATAATATATTATATTTAAATCTATATTTATAATTTATAAATATAGATAAAGGTATAAAATCATGTAACTTTCTATAATATTTATAAGCAATAATTATAGCTATATTTTATAATATAAAGTAAAGATGTAGATTTAATTTATATAACCTATATTGTAAGACTTAAAAATAAAAAGACTAATTTGATTATTTTTAATACTATTTATTTATTACTTACTGTTTTACATAGACTATGTACTACAGTATAAAATATAAAAATCAATCTAAGTCTCATGGCGCTTGAAATGCTTACTTTTGGTGTTTTTACGACATCTTACCGTTATCCGGGAGCCATCTCGGGCATTGTGTTGGCAAAACTTAAGCGTATCGTCATAAACTTACCCTATTTAAAATCGCATTGGCAACGAGGTGTTTTATCGCTCTTCGGCCGATGGCGGAAAGTCAACACAAAATAGCATGCCGGTCCTACATCAGCTACCCGGCAGCGGTAAGCCGCATTAGGAATCACAAAAGGCCAGCACCGGCATTCCGGCGGCGGCTTTGCGCATCGCGGTCCGCTGAAAGCATGTTTGCTGGGTATTTAATTCATTTTCTATTTTGTCGAGTCTATCAGTAATAATAATCATATTTCCACTCACTATTTGTGTGAAATTCCTTTCTTGGTCTTTTAACAACCTTTCTGTTTCTTTAAGCAAAGTTCTTTTTTGTTCTTCAAACTTGTTGGTAATAATTTTTTCAATATTTTTGATCGTTATTTCCATTTTTTAATTAACATTTTTGAAGAGCAGTCAAAAACACATGCGTTCGCGGCAAAAACCTTTTTCAAAAAAGAAACTTTTATTTCAAAAAAGAAACTTTTATTTCAAAAAAGAAACTTTTTTTTCAAAAAAGAAACTTTTTTCAAAAAAGAAACACATTTAAGGGGTGAGAGCAAATTATTTTTAAAAAAGTTGTTTTTTAGACACCCGTCCCCCAAACTCCCCCCCCCTCCTCCTCATAAAATACAAATTTTCATGATTTTCAATACTACGAAACATAGATCTTTAAGGGTTAATAAAAAAACCATTCAGTTTTAAACTAAAATATAGGCCTTCA